GCGAAGGCGACGGCAAGACCGGGCGCAAGAGCAAAGACCTGGAGGAGCTGGTCAGCGAGACGGTGAAGGGCAAGCCGGAGCTGGTAGGCGGGAGCCGCGGGGCCGCCCCCGAGGAAGGCTCCTGCCCTCCTCGTCCTCGCGCCCCGCATGCCGCCCTGCCCGGGGGGCGCACAGCAGCCGGGGTGGGGGTCCGGCTCACCGCAGGGCTCCGGCTCAGGCGGGGAAGGGGGGGTCGTGGCCGCGTGCAGGGGGTGTCGCGGTGCGCGCGGCCCCCCCCCAGCGCCCCCCGCGCCTCCCCCCGCAGCAGAGCTCGGCCGCGCAGCAGCTGCTCAGCTTCCCGGACAAGGGCAAGGAGAAGCCGGCCGACATGCAGAACTTCGGCCTGCGCACCGACATGTACACCAAGAAGAACGTGCCCTCCAAGGTGGGCGCCCCGGCCCCCCCGGCCGCGCTCAGGGCCCCCCCGGGCGCCCCCGCGCTCACCCGCCTGCCCCAACAGAGCAAAGCGGCCGCCAGCGCCACGCGGGAGTGGACGGAGCAGGAGACGCTGCTGCTGCTGGAGGTGACACGGGGACACGGCGGGGACCCCCCCGCGGTGCCGCCCCCCGGCGCCGCTCACCGCCCGCCCCGCAGGCCCTGGAGATGTACAAGGACGACTGGAACAAGGTGTCGGAGCACGTGGGCAGCCGCACGCAGGACGAGTGCATCCTGCACTTCCTGCGGCTGCCCATCGAGGATCCCTACCTGGAGGACTCGGAGGCCTCGCTGGGGCCCCTGGCCTACCAGCCCATCCCCTTCAGCCAGTCGGGCAACCCCGTCATGAGCACCGTGGCCTTCCTGGCCTCCGTGGTGGACCCCCGCGTGGCCTCGGCGGCCGCCAAGTCGGCGCTGGGTAAGGGGGCGCGCGGTGCCCGCGTCCCGTGTCCCCACACGTGGCTGCCACCTCAGCTGGGCGTCCCCATGGCCGGGGAGGCTCTGCCCGGTTGAGGCCGTCGGTGCCGGAGGCCGCCGCTGTCCCCGAGCGGGGCACACCGGTGCAGGGCCCCCCGGGATGATCCCGCGCGGGGGCACCCATGGGCGCCCCGGGGCCGCTCTCACGGCGCCGCCCCGCAGAGGAGTTCTCCAAGATGAAGGAGGAGGTGCCCACGGCGCTGGTGGAGGCTCACGTGCGCAAGGTGGAGGAGGCGGCCAAGGTGACGGGCAAGGCGGACCCGGCGTTCGGGCTGGAGAGCAGCGGCATCGCGGGCACGGCGGCGGACGAGCCCGAGCGCACGGGTGAGCGCGGCGGGCGGGTGGGCGGTGCGGGGCGGCCTCAACGCGCCCG